GGAGAAACACTTCATCACATTCAGCGCTTTTGGTGCTGGAACAAAGTGGAAGGACACACACCTTTTATAGTTTACAGCCTTAGTGACATGTGGGCAAAAGACTTAAGTCCATTAAACATAAAACAGTCAAAAATCACACACTTTTTTTCTTAGACCCTTAAAGTCAATAGCCTTTGGATGGTTCAAGCCGGTTGCATTGCCAAGTGGCCAATATGTCTCCCAACTTGAAATCTGCTCTGGCTGCCTCTAATGCTTTGAAAATTGGAAAACTTCGTGGGACAGTTCAATTCTGAGAAAATATTTGGTTTAATTTTTGGTTTAAGTTTATTTTAGATGCAGGATTTTAGGAAACCCATGTTATCAATACTAAAATCGTTTGGTAATTCAGAAAATAGACTTCCCTTACGATCTTAAAGGGGTGAAGCAAATTACATTTGTGTTGATAAATAAATAAAACTATTCCATATGGTCTCATAGTGCAAATGTCCCAACTGTATATGAGCCGTGAACTAGGATTCAAGCCAGGAATACCAGATTTTCTGTTATTTCCAAGCCTGGAGTTTGTAATGCTTTGAATAAAATTAGAGTTGTGTGCACAGTAACCACAGCGATAAAAATGGAGGAGATGGAAGCCAGATAGAACTCATGACTTTGTTTGATTGAACTCAGTTGAAGCTTATTAAAGACATTCCTCTGGGAGGATTACTGCTGTGCCACTGGATTTTAATTTTGTGAAAAAAGGCAATTTGCTGAAGAAGTTTGGCGTTAAGGTTTTTTGCCCAGTCGGTTGAATACATTATTCCATACTGGTTCCCTTCTGAAAGTATGAATGCTGTATTACCATGTAAAGTAGACCCAAATAGAGCTGCACCATATTTTATTCAACATGATTTCATGGGGAAGAATGAGCATGGTAATCGGCGGAATAAACCATTTTTACATCCTGTATTACAGGCATTGTACTTTTGGACTTGTGACAAGTGCACAGCATAGGGCTTTACTTTTCCTGCTCCCCTTTCCTTGTTGGTAATATCAGACTGAATTGAATGTTCTGCCTTGCCAGTTCACACTCACACACTACTAAATATGATTTGCATTCTCATTTCACAGATGAAACTACAGCTCATGAAGAGAATAGACACAGACGGTGGAGGTTTTGAAGGTTCCCCAAGACTGGAGAGTCGTCACGGTGGCTTTGCTCCCTCGTTATTACCTACCCTGCCCGGGTTGTTTGTATCCATCGCTTACATACACAGAGTCCGCAAGTTATGATGACGACTTTTGAAATCCAGGTGCACAACCTCAACAATGACACAATATGTTCTCCGGCTTTCATCGGCTTAGTGTGAGAACAATGTTTTTTAAAGGCAAAATAAGTTCCTCCGTGAAAATATGTCACATGTGTGCTTCTGGACACCGTTGAGGACATTGTGTTCAAGCTGCACACACGTGTGGGTTATCACTTAGAAAAGGTCTACAGCATTACATACCTTATGAACAATACCTACAGTATTGTCAATAGCATGTGCTTTAAGCCCGCGTCACACTGTCCCGAAATTGGACACACGATAAAGGAAAAGTTCAAATTCAGCTCTGATCGTAGCAACATCGGGACATTCGTGAGGACATCTTAAGCCATCGTATGACCGCCAGTGGAGTTTTTCAGGCTCCAGCAGCAACTTCGTGAGCGGTGGCAAAAGCTTTGGCATGCCAAAACATTTGCCGAAGGACCTTGTGAAGGTTCATTTTCGTGTTGAATTTGTGTGTCAATTTTGCCCTTCGTAAGGCCATCGTGAGGGCATCTGGT